GAGGATGTTATCGATAAATATATATTTCCTCATATTGTTATCGAAATATTCATACATATCGATATTGTTATCGATGTATATACATACATACATATGTATGTACCGATGTTGCTTTCGACACAGGTATCTATTTTGCTATCAATTGGCCCTATGCTGAATATCCATTTACTGATGCGCTGACGATCGTCGATGATGTTGATGCCGATATTAAGCATAAGACCGATTATATGTACATACATATGTATTTCCATTATAAGCGATATGGCTTATTCTAGACAAATGGCATTTCCTTATCGCCTTCCTAACTCTTCAATTCTTACCTTGCCATATTGCCACATATATTCGGGACAGAAATTTAGCATATAATTGATGGCTAAATGTTTTGGTAAAACAATCACCAGGAAGCTATCGATGCCAATCAAATCCGGTGTCTTCTGTATGAATGCGATAAACTCCTCGATGATTTCACGATCCATTTTTGTTGATGCCAGGAGCGACTGAAAGCAAAATAAATTATATTTTTATTATTGTTCGAATTTATCGTAATCTCATAAAAATTGTCCCTCACTCACCTGTATTTTCAACGTCAGCGTTAGCAGCTCATTATGCCAGCCCAAGAAGTGCACCTCACACTCACCCTCATCGCGATTGGGATAACTGAAGTCATCGCGTCGAAATGGCGGCAAACGATTAAGGTACTGCGGACGATCTAGCAAACATGGAATCGGTCGCAAATATGTCTTAACGTGCCGCTCAAACTCCTCGCCACTCAATTTATAATCCGGTATAAAGGGCACATAGATGATTTTGCGCTCTTCTGCTGCGACCGGCGGTTGCGCAACGCTGCTACTTGCCGATTTCGCATAATAATACTGAGTATATGCACTGTGGCGCAGCAAAGTATTCTGTTGCTGCTGCTGTTGCTGCAGCTGCTGCTGTTGTTGTGCGCGCAATTCCTGTAAATGGCGTATCATAAATTTTATGCATTCCATGCGCAAGCTCACGAAATCCTCATTCACTGGCTGTTGTTCGACATCGGCCGATTGC